ATATAAACATCATTACGTAAACATAACTGCAGAAAAAAAAAAAGCGATTTACGCTTCATTGCATGTGATTAAACGCGATCTGAAAAGAAATAAAATATTAATAGAATTTGAAAGCTCTTTTTTGTATTGATGAGAAAAGTATAAATTTCTCTTGCAGCGCGCGGATATGATATCCAATATAAGGACAATTTGTCGCTTTATCGCACGGTTATCGAAGATAAATCTACCAAAATTTATGTATTATATTTCAGCGTCTCGCAAAAATTGTGCTGTATATACGCCTCGTCGACTTCATTGATCTCGTATATATAGTAAGTTTAATAAAAAAAAAAGTGTAGGAATGATCTCTGTGTGAACATGATCGTCCACGTGAATAAAGGAAATACGGTTTACCTTCACAACAGTAATTAGTTTACAGTTGAAATGAAAGACAATGCGATGCATTCCGAATCCGTCGTTCAAAGAAACGGGAAGACACACATTGATCAATATGAGCCAAGTGCGGAGAGAAAGAGAGAGAGAGAGAGAGAGAGAGCTGCATTCCTGTTTTAAGTACATGGGCAATATACGCGCGGTGACTCGACACGTTTCAGAGAACAGCATTGTTAGCGTCGACGCGTCGAAAGTCATACCGAATCAATAAAGTGGAAATCCTGACGATGAGTGCAACCGAGACGCTCGGTAGCCTCCCCGAGAGAGAAGGCGAACCCTCCTCCCACTCGCCCGGGGAAGGGTCCATGTGTAAATTGCGATGACGATGTAATTTACGAAAAGAGAAAGAAAAGAAAAAAAAAAAAAAGAAAAAAAAAAGAAAAAAAAAACGTTTGGGCCGCGCGCGCCGGTGTAATCGCGATCTGTCCACGACGATCATTCAGCGCGGGACGAGTTATTGATTCGGAGCACGTAATTTAATATCAAACTGATAATAACGTCGCGGCGCGTCAAAATTAGGATCTTATTTCGGAAGGCCGTGCACGTACACGTGGACGGAGCGTGGAGGATCGATGCTCGAAAACACAAACGGTAGAACCGCTATGCAGAGGCAAGTACACTCGCGCACTTTTACGTAATAATGTAAATAAGACGGGATATGACCTGGCAATCGGCCGATGTGCGACTACGTATGAAAAGT